GGAAGAGCATTTATTGCCCCAAACCAGCGGGATGTCTCCAGAGGGGTAACTCCTGCCCCGTGTGTCCGTGCTGTTCCCAGGGCGGCCAGACGGCCCTGCTGCTCGGGGTGAGCCACGACCGGGAGGACATGGTGAAAGCCCTGCTGTCCTGCGGGGCTGACGTCAACGTGCCGGACGAGCAGGGCACCACGGCGCTCATGGTGGCCTGCCGGCAAGGCAACGCCGACATCGTGCGGCTCCTCCTGGCCCAGCCCGGCTGCGACGTCGCCCGCACGGATAAGGTGAGGGGAACCCCCTGGGAATAAATACGGGTGAGTCGCAGCAGCGTTGCGTAGGCAGCGCAAGAGCGCCGTCAAGAAACAAGCCCAGCCCAGGGCTCGGGCATTTCAAATACCACCCGACTTGCAGACGTGTCCTGCACTGCAAGGGAGTTTCCTGTTTTGTAAGGGTTGAAACTCCCTGTGTCGCTTTTGGTGGAGAAAAGACCACACCAGAGCGAACGCCAGGATGCTCAAGAGGCCACCAGTGTCCCCTTCGTAAGCGCAGCCCCACAGGGCAAGAATGACCCAAATTGACTGGAAAGCACCATCGCAGCTAGCCCCATACTGGGGTGGCAAAGGGCAGAGGCGAGGAGGGAATGGAAGGGAATTCGTATAAAACTAAAAAAAAAAAAAATTAAAGACCTCCTGGACATCTGGAATCAACACTGCTTCAGCTCCAAGAAATTAGAAGCACTTAATTCTACCCTCAGAACTGAAACCCACCCACGAAAGGAGAAAACATAACTCACCCTGCCCTTGACATCTGGTAATGGAGACCCAGACTGCTCCTAGCCTGAGATAACTCAGAGAGGGGAAGAGAAAAATGTTTCTATGCACCTCATCTGCTTAAACTGTAATGCAAACAAGAGTGTTGGGGAAGCTCTTCCATATGGTGCTTAAATCCTATTTCATCTTAATGACCAAAACAGACTAAGTAGCTACATTATTTCCCCATAAATGAAGCATCGCAACTACAAGTGATCCATGTAGCATGCGTCCATGTAGCCTTAGTTTTAAGCATTGCTACAAAGACAGGCAACAGAAACAACCATCAGGAGTTAATAATAATGATAATAATGATAATAATAATGATGCACCACAGAGTTTCCTGGGTGTTGTGCCTGTGAATGCCATTTATTAGCCAAGAGTCTGCTGTGCGCTGAGCTGTACAACCAACAAAAATCATACTTTTGATTATCATATCAATATCTATGATTATTCACAGTACAACGTACAAGCAGAAAAAATACTGTGCAGAAAAGAGCTGGTAATAATGGACAAGCAAGACACAGGGAAGTAGTAAACCTGTCTGGCAACTCTTCCAGCAAAAGAGAGAACAACCAAAAAAAAAAAAATTAAGAATGGAGTCAACAAATGTTTGTATTTTCCAGGACATTTCAAAATAGATATACAACTTGCTGTGGAGAAGAAGGATACTCACAGCTTGGCCGCAGCGAGGGCAAGGCCGAAGGGGCCCTGTGTGGCTGTAGCAAGTTTGGGGATGCATTTCCAACGTGGCCACGTGCCCTGGTCCTCCGAAGGGGGATGGCAGAATGTGGCTGGGAGCTTCGGCCGGCAATTGGCTCCCTCCAAAATCCCATGTCTGTCACAGGAAGGCTGCCATAGAGCAGCAGGCTTCTTTACGGGAGTGTGGTTTGGAGGTCCCGGTGGGTGAATCCATAACTAACAGCTCATTCCTGCACAAAAAAACCTAACTAACAGCCAGTTCCTGGATGGAGCCATAACTAACAGCTCATTCCTGGAGGGAGGCTGCTCCCGGCAGCCTGTCGGGCTGCGCGCTGGGATGGTGATGTGAGGTGACAGCCACTGAAGCCTGAAGGAAACACGTTTTCCTGGGTAGCAACAACCTGTGGCGCTAATTCAGTTCCCTGGCTCCTGAGGAGCGCAAATTGAGACCAGTGTCTTCCCTCAGGTTAATACAGTTAATATTAGAGAGTAAATTGCTCTCTTGGGGCTAAAGCCGAGCTGCTTCGAATAGGCTGAAGCAGGGGAAGGTGAGCGCTATCTTATCTCCTAACAAGCTCAGGGCCTTCAGGATTCAATTAATAACACGTTACTGAAAAGTAGCACTTTGCTAGTAGGGATGTGCATGACGTGGATTTATTGGCTGGACCGGGAACGGTGCAAGAAGCTGATCTACGTATTCCTCCTGCACAGGCTAATAGCAACAGAGCACATGGCTGCATTTATATCTGTGCAGCTGTATCCCAGCTAACCTGCAATTCTTCTTCAACCCATGTGGCTTAGCTGAAAAGAGCCATTGCTGATGGCACCAAGAAATGGGTGAGACCCTCCCAAGACGTATTTGCACAGGGCCAGTTAAGCCTCAAAAATCCTGCTGGAAGATTTACTGACCAGTTGCTCATTTTAAAGCATGCCGGAAACCAACTAAATAATAAATAAATGGGCGCAAAGCGACCCCGGATAGCTGTATGCTGGAGCCGAGGGGAAAAATTCTGGTTGTAGCTGTGCAGTACTGAGACAGCCACCCTTAACGTGGCCAAGGAATCTCAGCAGTTTGCTGCAGGGCTGGCTGTATTAAAGGGATTTTGCAACATAAATCAGTTGTGTGTGACCAGGGGGAAACAGCCAAGGTTAGTGCAATCCATGGGGAATTCATAAAAAAGAAGGAATTAAGAAGCCCAAAGTGACTTATATGGTCAGTTTTCTAATGCCGTTTTCTTCTATCTTCTGCAATAGCATTTTGATGGGATGGAATACTGGGTCAGTTCCCTCAGGGGAATGGGGCTCCCACGCAACTGCAGGTTAATGAAATCCAAGCTGTCCAAAAACACAGGATGTGAAAGCTGAAGATTTGCACAGTAAAATCCTCTCCTCTTCCTTCTGGCAGGATGGCAACTCGGCGCTGGAGCTGGCGCAGCGCTCGGACCACTTGGAGATCGCAGCGCTGCTGCGAGCGCACGTGGAGCGGAGCCGGGCTGCCCCCGAGTGAAGGAGCGGGAAGAAGGGCTCCCCGTGCAGGGAACGGTGACCAAAAGCTCCTTTTGTCGACAGCCGCAGGCCCCGGTGACGTGGCAGTGACTGTGGCCGATGTCGCCGAGTCTGGATTCCCAGGCGGCGCGAACTTTGTCAGTTATTTGCCTACAACCCTAATGTATAATTTGCTGCATTAAGCCTACTTATATAGCCTTAATCTATGCATAGCACCATGGCTCAAATACTGTTTTGGAGAATCGGATTAACTGGATTGCCTTTTATTAAGGGTCAGTCCTGATGTTAGCTCTGAGCTCTACTCACACCCCTCCCAGCAGGGTTTTGGCAGGTGAGTGCAAAAAAAAATATATATAAAAAAAAAAGCACATTGGGAAAGCAATACTTATTTTTTGTAACCTTAGACTATGGTGTCCTTTTTAATCAACTGCATAACTGTATCTCATGTAACGTGTAAGTTTGTGTCCTCATATTTATTATTAGAGTTTCTGTATGCAGTAGCAGACAGCGATTATTCGGTATATGTAACGACAAATACAAGCTGGCTGGATTATGTGAAGTATAAAATCCTATTTATGTTTGCTTATGTGGGGGTTGATGTAAGAATTAAAAAATAATGCTCTAGGAAAATATTTGACTGCACCAGATCCAAACAAACAGACCTTGTTTTGCCTGTACTCCCAGTCACCATATGGCTCTTATCTTTCCTAATTAAGCTCGACTTAACCGGGAAACATAGTCTGTGGACAGGCCCTGCGCATCAGTACGTGCGATGCCCAGGACAACAGGATGTTCTGAGTTATCCCAACCCCAGCACGGGAAAGGAGGATCGCAGCCTTGTTCGCCATCCTCTCCAGGATCCAAGGAAGCCTCTCTAGGATGTGTCGCTATTGGTCAGGACACTAAAAATGGACTTAGTGGACATTTCTAAAAAAATTTCTAAAAAGCAGATCACACTCATTAGTTAGTCTTTGTTTTTTTGGTGGTAAAGCAGGAATTCAACCCTGCACTCTCTTTTAGAGAGTTTGCAGGCCAGTTTATGCCATCTGCTTAAATCTCTTGCACTGCCCCTTCCTCTTTACTTGTTTTTGCCACACAGGGCAGAGCAGTTTCCAAGAGCAGCAGCCTTGTGCTGTCCTAGAGCTGGACCCAGGAGATCCTGCTCTGCGTTTTTGCCTCATCTGTTTCCGACCAAAATCTAGCGCTTGGTTCCATTTTCATCGTTTTCCTCATGTTTGTAGTCAGAAGTGATAATCATCTGAACCGTCTGCCTTTATTTAACCCACTCCCCAAGCGCAGTCATGCTCTTTATGCACAAACAAATCCAAATCAAACATCCCTCTGTATTTCCTGAAGCCCCACGGGGCGCTTTCCCCGGGGGTGTGCGTAGAGGCACCTCCCCATTCACCCTACCCTGGGCCGGGGCCTTGGTTGCCATCCCTATGGATAGCCAGGCCCTGCTGCTCTTGTGCCAGGGCTCTCCCGGAGCCACCGTGGGATTCGTGTCCAAGGCACCTGATCGTGACCCGGCAGTGACTCTTCCGCACAAGCCGGTAAGAGACACGATGCTGCCATGCCCCAGAGCATCAGCAAAAGCAGCAGGGTTACCATTTTGTGACAGCTCCCACATGATTTTTTTTTTCCCCACAGCCCAAGAGCTTGCAGAGAGGCGCTGAGCTGCGGCTTTGCCACCAAGGAAGGGGGACACCGGGCTGCGCTGCCGCCACACGTGAGCTATTCCATGGAGGAGCTGGTCACGGAGGGACGGGTGATCAGGCCACGTGGCTCTGCCCTATGCACGGCCCTGGGATTTCCAGCCTCCGCAGAGCAACCTGGAGATGACCCAAGGGACTGAGACAAAACGGGTGGCAGATGGTCTGCAGGATCCCGATGCCACCCAGGAGCCAGGCACAGGTCCTCTCTGCTGGTGTCCCAGTACAGACCCAGCTCTGTGAGGCAGCAGCTAGGGAGAAACTCCTGTGAGAACAGTCCCACGTCCCACAGAGACTCCCCAGATACCGGTCTGAGCCCACGTACCGCAGAGAGGGGATGGAATAACTGCAGGGCCCCAGGGGAGCTGCTGTGGCCCCCACACAGGCACAGCCTGGCAGCGCTGCTGGGGAGGGGACGCCACCACCGAGGCTGCCGGGGCCCTCGTCCCTGGCGCTGCTGCACGTGTGGGAGCAGCGGGGAGCTGGGAAGAGACTCAAAACTGGGGGAAAAGAGCCAAAAGCCACAACCAGCAGCGTGCTCAAGGCTGCCTCCAAACTAGCAGTGTTGCGCTCTGCCCCCTTCTCACTGGGGCGACAATCAATCCAATTGCCTTATCCTGCGGAAACGGCCGAGCCAGCAGCTCGGTGCCCCTCGGGAGGATTTAATTCCTGTGGATGGGATCAGGCTGCCTGCACAAAGGCCGGGTCACGGCCTGCAGGGAACCGGACGCAGCAGATGTCCCCAAGGGCCCGCGCGGTGACGGGCCCGGGCCTGGCGGTGCCGCAGGGGATGCTGCAGCCAGGGGACGGAGGGAGCCCGGGAACGGGAATGTTTTGCCGATGGCTCCATCTAGTGCTGCTGCGCAGGGAACGCCTGTGTTGGCCGCACTCTAATAACTTGCACCGTTGTATCTGCTTCCCTCCAGTGCAGTAAGTTAATAGATTTTTTTCTGTGAACAACAATAGCTTTTAACAGGGGTCACACACTGGCACTCACTTATCTGGAAAGAGCAGCGAAAATCCCTCTTGCTAAGACAAAACTGCCTCAGACAAGCCCGACCCCGTGCACATTTCCTTGGCTAAAACCATTTCTCAGCACAGGGCCAGCTGCAAGCTGCGCTGGAAGCAGAGCCCAAATTTCCCTGGAGAACACCCGAAATGCTCCCCCGGGGGCTGCGGGCCAATGTCCAGCAGCTAATTCCTGCACAAAAACGTAGCTAAGAGCCGGCTCCTGCCCAGCCTTTGCTGCTGGGCACCGCCACGGGGAACGGGGCAGGACGGTGCCTGGGCATGCGCCGGAGGGCACCTGGATGCGGCGCTTCGGCAAAACCCAGCTCTCCTCCAGGAAACCGGCACCAGCGCCCGGGCTGAGGCTTCGGAAACAGGCCCTTATCCCGGCCTCCTGCACCACCCTGTGCCGGAAGAACATGGCCGAGTTTCAGAGCATCCTCGAATGGAAACAAGTCTGTAAATAAAAACAAACACATGGCAGAGAGCAAAGCAGGAAAGCAACGCGTGCCATGTGCTGCAGTTTCTAACCTTCATTGCTTTTTAGGGGAATTTATTTGCAGCTCCTCCTTTCACATTGCACATAACTAAACCAGAACCTGCAGTGAACGCCCTCCCAGAAGGCCAGGAGCAGCTCCTTGTGCACACTTCTACTTGCTTGCAGCAGCTGTCCTGCCTTAGCTCCATGCCAGCCAATGTGCTAAAAAAAAAACTAGAAAAAAATAAAAGCCAAGAAAGGGTGTTATGGGACTGGAGAGATGTTCCACAGTCAACCTGCAAACAAGCAACCCTCCTCAGGAGTCTGCTTTCTTCAGGAGGAAGCTGCCACAACTCTTCAAGGATCTTTTCTCGGTTTTACTCCGGCTACGGCACTCGCCGCTGAGCTGCGGACGTGGGGGCAGCGCGGGGTGATTTCCTAGGAAATGAGGGAGAGCAAAAGCCTTGCTCCGGGGTGGATGCTCTCCCCAAAGCCCGCGTAAATGTCATTTTAATTGGTGGGATTATTTGGATTAGGGATGTGATTCTTAAGTGAGCAGTTGCAGTTCCTGCACCTGCAGCAGGGGTACCAGGAGTGAGAAGTGTTTGCACTGCTGCCACCTCTGCTCTTTTTGCACAGGAACCTCCTACGAGCTCCGCTGAAGCGGCGAGCGCTGCACGAGGCCAGCGGCAGAGGGAACATGATCCGCAGCCTGTGGCAGGCCAGGACGCTGCACAACACGGATCCCCGGCCCGGCACCATCCTGCAAGCTCCAGGTATCGCTCCCATCAGACACCAAAGCGCCTGGAGCAGCTAAGGGGAAAAACGACCGTGACCACGTTTGAACAGAATATAAATACAGCTAAATTATGGAGAGAGAAGTGTGAAACTGCAGAGAAAGACGGTAATGGAATTATATATCAGTGCTCAGCCCAACTGTAAAAACTAATGTTTTATACATGTATAATGTTAAATTAATTCATTCCAGTTCTTTCAGGCGAAGGTACATTAACTGCTCCATCTCAGCATAATCGTATTACTTCCAGAGGCTCCATAGATGTCATACTTCCAGGGTGGTAATCGCCACTTGATTAATTACAGGGAATTTAGCGGCATTACAGCGATTCCTTGTGCAGCAGTATAATTTGACACAATCCCCTTAACACGCTGGGCTGACCCCGCCGTCTGGGCTAGACCGTCCCCGGCCACAACGCGTGGAGCTGCAGTCTGCTCATGCCGTGGGGACCCGGAACACGGAGAGGCCTCCAAGGAGGAGCCTGTGGAGGGAGACCGGGAGCTCCCAGATCCTCTTGCAAACCTCTTCTGGTGCAGCAGACTCCTCCTGTCCAAGCAAGGGCCACTGGGCGCTCCTGTCCTTGTCACCCTCCTCCTCCTGCCCCATTTTGCTGCCTGTGGGTTGCATCCTTGTTCTTTCAGCCCTGCTTTTTGTTGGTGTTTCCCCTGTTCCATCCTCCTCGGCGGGCTCTGCAAGGAGCTTTCCCGGCCCTCGGCTCGTCCCACCGCAACCTCGGAGCAGCCCTGGCCACAGCACGTCCTGCTCCCTCCAAGGGGAGCGACAAGCCCTGGAAAGACATCTCATGCAATAAGCGTTAACGGTGGCTTCATTAAAAACAAGCAAAATACAAAATGCCACAAAAAACAACGCACAACTACTTATGTAACTGAGCTTTATTGAGAATCTTTGGAAGTCATAAAATGTCTCATTTTACTGACATACATAAACATACAGCCAAGAAATTTAATTGCTTTTCCCCTTGCAGAGAAATAAAGTTTTAAACAGAC